ACCATGACACATGTAGGCATACACATATGAACATACACACACATCAAATGCATGGACAAAAGGGTTCATTAAAGCCCAGAAGAGAGGCTTTTGTTGGGAAAAGTGAACAGAGGGAGTCTGGGAGGGCAGATCCAGAAGCCACACACCTGCGCTGAGTGTCCTTGTAACTCCAGGCAATTGACCCAGCCTCCTGCAAACTCTGGAGGACACACACTTACACGGAGTCGGGTAGCTCTCACAAAATGATGTGTAACCAATCCACACTGCCACTGTCATCAGGACTAACCGGTCACTCATTCCATGTTCCCAACACCAGAGCGGCCACAGCGCTCAGATAAACAGCTCAGATAAAAAGACAGCGGCCTTTCTGTCTCAGATAAACACATCTCCAGGACCAGTCCCACCAGGGCTGGCTCACAGAACAGGGGGACTTTTATTGGGATCCCCAGAACTCATGAGGGGAACACAGTTGGCTCCAGTCTGCAGGAAACTGTAGCCCCCGACCCACAGGTTCTAGCAGGATCTTTTAACAGTTGGGCAGACTCTTTGAGAAGCCTGCTCAAATGCCCTTCTTGAAGAACACAGATGGTCAAAGCTCTTCTGTGGTGGAAGACTTTCAAACGCAAGTTCAAATGTTGTACTAACTGTTATTATCCTCAGTCTACCCTTTGCTTCTTAGGGGAAGGAAAGAACCCAAAACAAATGTCATTCCTGCAGGATTAAGTCAGCGTGGCATGCTTTGGCAAAGGTTGGGCAGCAGGCTAGACGTCTTTAGAAGATGTTAGTTGGAGGAACTCAGGGAGACCCCCTTGGTCACTGACCCACCGCTGGAAGCAAAATCTGTACCCTACAGAGAGGAAACAGAGAGCTGATAGCCTCTCCTACCACACAGAGAAGATGACCAGGACTCGAGGGCAGGCTCTGGGCTGCTGGAGTCTGCCCGCAAGCGAGTGAGCGAGCAGGAGATCAGAGTTACCAGTCTTTCCACGACAGCAGTCACGCTTCCCTACGGCTTGCCCGCTCTTTCCATAAATACATTCCTGCTTGTCAGCCATGTGGCTCGGATTTTTGTTTGGGAAACATGGTAGCCATCACAGCCTCTCAGTGCCTCCCTCAGATGTCCCTAGGGGATTAACAGATGGTAGGTCCCCTGGCGCAGAGGTGGGAAGCACACATTGGGCTCTTTGCTGGGTGCCTTTGACTGCTCTATTGCTATTTGTGGGACTGGTTTACAGTCAGCTATCCACCTCAGAAGGAAACCGCCTCGCGGGGCATGTTAGATCCAGTGTCTCAAGAGGGTTAATTGTGTTTCAATGCCCAGTTGCTGAGTCAAGTGCCAGTCTAGAAGCTGATGCGAAGGTCCTTTTCAGATGTCATTATCACTTTTACAGGACCCTCTGAGCAATCAGATTGCCTCCCACAACCTAGATAGGCCTCATCTCACCAACTAGCAGAGCAAGAGTCAAGAGGGAGGTTCCCTACCAAAGATGGAAGTTTGAGTCTAGGCTCCCTTTGGTCTCAAGTCTGTGTCATTATCTCTCGCTGAAATTTTCAGCCACGGGTGACCTTCAGCTGGGATCACCTAAGAGTATTTTCTCTGTCTCCACATGGTGACACATACAAACCTTATTGCTTCCATCTCTCTGGTGAGACCTGAATGGTACAATCCCCATCTGCCTTGAAGATAGGATATATGAACTTTAAGTACACGTGTGCAGGGAAGCCCCAAGCATGCAAGTGTGTACACACATGACATCCCATGCATCCCCTTCCCCACTCACTATCTAAGGCTTTTGAAATTTCCAGGACAAGATGGGATGAGTTTTCCTTGGTTTGGATTTTGTCTCTGTCTTTGTTGGCAACATTCGAATTGCTTGTAGCTTGTGGGGAGCTGGGGTTCCTCACACGGCCAAGGCAAATTTTCGGAGGATGTTACTGTGCCATCTGTTAGTTATGATCTCAGATGCCAAAAAGTGCAACTGCGAAAGGGAGAATGTGCTTCTCTTTGGGGCTGTGGGCTTTGCCAGAGAGCATGAGGAGAGTTACGTGTAAGGAAGGCACTGGAAAAGACAGCACCTCCACAGTGCAGTGGTGTGCAGGGTCTCTGAAGAGGGCCACACACACTAGTCAGAGTCCTCCTGGGAGAGAGAAAGCCCTTCAGACCACAGTCACAGCAACAGTTCAGGGTTTATCTAAAAGTCAGCCAACATCGATGGAGCATCTATGCTGAGAGCTGCCGGAAGAGGCTGACTGGGCTCAGGGTGTGAGAATCATGGGAGAACCAGAGAATCTCAGATCTTCTTTGGAGGGTAAAGGTCACTTGAGACTAAACTAGCAGTTAACTTTCCATGAAGATGTGGAATGGGGCCTGATGGCAACTTCGAACATCACTCCTGCAGAGCGTCGGATGTAGAACCAAGCCTACTCTCAACATGATCCTCAGATGGCCCTCACTGGTGTCCTTCAAAGACAAAGGCAGAGGGTGGACTTGATCTCCGTGCAATGGAGAGGGCAGGAAGAGGAAGACCACAGAGAAGCAGAAACAGCCAAAGTCTAAGTCCTTAGTTTAGGAGCAAGGAACAAGGCTCCTCCTCCAACCTGAGCAGTCAGCCGCAAGGACCAAGAGCAACCACATCCTGGTGGGGGCATCTGGAGAATGAGATGAGGTCTGCTTAGGACAGAGTTAACTTGAGAGGGAGGGCTGAGGCTGGGGGATGGGGAGTAGATTGTGTGTGTGCCAGTCGGTACCTTTCCAGATGCTTCCATTCCTTTGGAGGTCTGCTGGGCTCTTTTTTCTCTCACAGCAACCTTGTTCCAAGCATTTTAAAGATAGAAATGGATCTACTTAATGGAAGTAAGGAGAGAAGGATGGGAATGAAGAGAGGGGGAGGGAGAGAGAGGAAGGGAGAGAGAGAGAGAGAGAGAGAGAGAGAGAGAGAGAGAGAGAGAGAGAATGCATGCAGCACATTCACAGAAAGAGAATAAGGCTGTCCAGGAAACATCTCCGTACTAACATATGTATCTTGTTTGAATTATAAGCGCTCAAGTCTGGCAACTGTCATTTTTCTTTCCCAAGAGGTTGAATGGGGCACCAGGACACTGAGTTCACCCCTTTCTCCCCACTGCTTAAAGTAAAACGAAGTGGGGGAAAGAAGGAAGAGATCAACCAGACACCCAAAGCCCCTCCTCAGGTGGCTGTCCTAGCAAAGGCAGAAGAGCCACAGCTTCGTTTCGCCCCCGCAAGACAGTTCACAATTCCAACACGGGATCTTAAGTATCTCTGGGTGTTTACAGAGCCTCTGGACATGTCCCAGTCCCCACTTCCTGCCCAAGAACTGATCAGGGGTCTTGAAGACAGGCAGAAATCCAAGGTGTTTTCTAATTCCTGACTCTACCTTGTCTGTCCCTTACTGCTGAATTTCTTCTTTCTCCTATGGGACTCCAGCCAAGACCAGAACCCAGGGCTGCTATTGATGATTGCCCAGTGTCCCCATTTCTGTGGGGCTCATTTGGTAAAACCATGATGGCAGATGCTTAGGAGTCAAGAAAAACAATGGTCGGGGACTGGTGATTCTTAGAAGGGAGGAGCCTGAGGCTCTCGGAGAACAGAAATCAATCTATAACTGCCCAAGATGCGCCCTTGTTATCTTCCCATCTCCCCATTGTGGGCTGACAGTTCGTCCAAGGGCCTCATTAGACACCAAGGGAGAGTAAGTGACACCATTGGGGTCGTCTACAGAACTGGTAGGATCCAGGAAGCTCTTGATCCAGCAAAGGACAACGGGTTTCAATACAGCAGCAGCCATGATTAGACAAACCCAGGGTTCACCTGAGCCCAGGACCTATGCAGGGTGGCTAAACAGTGAAACCAGCTCTGTCTGCCACTCAAAGTGGGGAGATTTCAGACCTACTTGGATGTGGTTAGAGATCTTGTCACCAGGTTCAAAAGACTCTGAACCCAACAGGGACCCTCTCTCCTGTGTATGGCATCATTAGAATGTCTAGGTGGGTGAGTGGCTCCTCAAGCCACTACCCAGAGATCTCTGAGAGGATGGGGCTTCAGAGAAAGGAAGCCACAAAGGAGAATAGTCAGTGGCCTTTCTAGGCTGAGGGTTTGCACCTAGTCATCCCCAAGCTCCTGGACTAGAACCCTTAGGCAGGTTTAAGTAGAAGTCCCTGGAAATGCAGAGAACACCCAAGGAACTGACTTTAGCAGCATCCAGACCAAGTCTAAGATGCAAGCAATGCAAGAGACAAAACCTGAGATGGTGGCCGGAGCAAGGTCATGCCACCTACCTGCTTACAAGGTGCGTCTCAGTGCAGCATGATCCCAGAGGTTCAGTGGGAGTGGAAGACAAGACGGCCAGACCCTCCCTGTGCCCTGCCCCCAAGGTGCTCCTCACCAAAGGCTGGCCCTAGACTGCATCAGCACCCTACTCCTGGGTCCTTGTAGAGTTTAACAGAATTTAAGAGTGGACAGAGGGGCCCTCTATGGCCATGGCTGTTGACTCTGTGGTCAGCCCTGGAGAAGGGCAGTCCTGTGAGGCTCCTGTGTTGCTCTGGCTTGACTTCCAAGACCGGCAGGGAAGGAAGAAATCATTTCACAGGATGGATGCCATCTGGGTCTGCTAAGTTCACCTTGCTGCTCTCCCCGGTGCCCCAGGCTGTTCTCAGAGAATTCCAGGGATGGTTAAGAGCAAGGCTCAGTGCACTTAGCCCCCAGGACAGGAGATCAGACACTTCTCAGGCATCTAAAACCTCTGCCTAGCTCCCTGCCCACCACATCTCAAACCCAGGATTGAGTTTCTCTGGGGCTAGGTCCTCAGAGGAAAGGTGAGTCCTGCAATAAGACCAATGGTGGCTGGAAACACTGCAAGATTTGAATTCTGCATCATGGCAGATTCAGGGGTCTGACTGAGGTGGGCTGAGGACCATGCAAAGAACCTGACGCCTCAGGCCTGGCACAGAGCCATGCTCCCTACCCCCCCAGGCCAACTCACTCAGGGGTGTTGATCCAGATGATGTCCAGGTGGCAGTAGTAGACACACTCCTTGTCCTTATATGTGAAGCATGTGCACCTCCGGGGTCGGTGATGTGCAGGGACCCCCTGAGCCTCCTGCTCCCCAGACCTGCCCGGTCCCCGGTCTGGACCAGCACTTCCAGGACTTGCAGGCTGTGCAGCTGTTAGGGCCACAGTCTCTTCACAGTCCCACTCTGAGCCAGCTTCAGGGGGGCCCTGGGACACGCTGGTTCTGCCAGAGCCCCCAGGCTGAGGGCAAGGCACAAATCCTGCAGGAGGCAGATTGAAGGGTTCCTAAACTGCTTAGCACCCACTACCACCACGCCCCACCCCACTCTCCGCGCCCGCACACCGGAATGAGAATCAACCAAACTTCTGCAAAGTCTGGGGCTGGTTGCATTTCCCCTGCAGTCTCCAAACTAAGTCAAATGCCTAGAAAAGTTTACAAAGCTCTGTGCAAACTCGGGGGAAAGAAAAAAAAAAACAAAAAACAAAAAAACCTTGAGTTATTTTCAGTCCCATGAAGTCTGAAAGCTATTTGCTCTTGCTGGTGAAAACACGATTTATTTATTTTGTGTAGTCTCTGAAAAGTGTCCAAAGTGTCCCAGACTGAAAGCCCCAGACTCAGTGGAAGTAATCATTGTGTCTTCAGGCCCCTCTGCCCATCCCTGGGAAACTTGAGGGTGAAGAGTCAGGCTCACTTAGCTTTCCCGCAGCACAGACCCGCGCCTGGCTTCCTTTTGTGTGCACTCCCGCGTGGAGAGGCGCGCCGCCCCGCCCCTCCCGCTTACCTGCAGCGGAGGTCACTGTGAGCCCGAGAAGGAGCCACAGCCCCGGCTCCATGAACCCTGTTCAGGCGCGGAAGCACCAGGCCTGGAGGGTGGCCGCTTGTGATCTCGAAAGGGCACTGGGATCGGGCACAGCTTTCGAGTCCTGCCTCTGCTGCGCGTCCCGGCAAAGAGTTAGTTGACTGCGGCGGTCACGAACTTTCAGAGCGCGCTGCCCATCCCTGCGCAGGGCTGGCCGGCTGTGGCTCGGGTTTTTCTGGCTCCCGCACCACCCCCTTCGCCTCCCCGCCCCTTAGAGGGGCTGGAGCTGCCGCGTCGGGCCTTTGAACCCGGGGCGCACGGGGGTCGTTTTCCAAGCGCAGAGGGGGAGCAGACCAGAGGCGCATTTGCCTCAGGCGCACCCAGAGCCATCGAGAGGCGGTGACGCCTCGCTCCCCGTGGGTGGAGTAGGGTGGGCCCCCCGAACAGCTGCACGAAGGCCACCCTCTGCCCCTGCACACCCTGGTCACTTACACTCAGATTCACACGTGCAACACCCTAGCCCACACCAAGAGTTCCAAGAGCATGAAAGAGCTGCAGAGAAGGGGCACAGGCTTCTTGTTTGTTTGAAATCAGTCTGTGGGAAAGACCTGTTCGCCAGTGGCTTACCCTTGCTGAGGCCTACTGGCCAAGGCTTTGAGTGTACTTTACACTTCTGATTCATAGGTGGCTCAGCCAGCTCCCTGGTGGCTGAAAGTTCCGATGGCAGGTGGGGCAGTGGGACCAGAGCAAAGTTAAGAAGATTCCATTGAGCCTGAGGAAGCATCCCAGGGAGTTGCATTTCTACCGCCACCCATTCAGTGAGGAGGGGCAGGTGCTTCTACCTAGAGACACACTCATTCCTCAACTGTTCACAGGTGGTTTACTTCTCAGGGCACTCTGGTGGTTTAATAGGTCTGCAAACCTTTAAAAGGTGGATTGCAAGGTCATTCCTGCCCTTCCACCCGCCACTTTCCTAACGACTGGCATTCTAAAAAGTAGAGTCCTCAGAAGTGACCAGGTTGCTCCCAAGGCAAGCCATGAATAGGTATAATTTTCACAAACTGGCTCAGTCTCTCAGGACATTTGCCTGCTGAACACAACCACCATTGCCACCATGCCAGGGAGAAGCCCAAAATAGCCAAGCAGAGAGGTCCCAAGGGGGAATTCTCATTAAAGGGAAACTGAGGCCTCACAGCCAATGCCAGCTATTGGCATGGCATAAGTAGGGTGACTGAAGTCCCTGCCTTCAAGGATGCCAGCAGGGGTGGTCAGTTGGTTTGGATTGTTTTCTGTCCCAATTCCCTTCAACTGAGGGTACATAAAAACCAGAAATGCACCGCTCCCAATTCTGAGACCTTAGAAGTCCCAGCATGCCCTCTACCATGGGTTCTCTTTCCTGCTCGTGGATGGTTCTGCTTCAGTGGTGGTTTGTGGTGGGAGGCACAGGTGCTCCCTGTGGTCTTATTTATCAGGTCACCAGCCCTATTCCTGAAGGCTCTCCCTTCATGACCCAGTCACCTCCAAGGCTCCACCTCCTAACACAGTCATCTTGGGGGTTAGGGTTTCAGCAGGTCAAAGGACGTATCTGTTATTGTTTCTTCCCCTGAAGTTAAACTATCCATCTGTAGCTGTGGGCCCTGACAGGCCAGTCATCTTCCCTGGCATCCATGGGTGGGGCCAATCCAATGCAGTGCCTGGATCAATGTGTGCCCTGGGTCTTCACTCCAGCTGAGATAAGAAAGGTTAAAGGTGGAGACACAGGGTTAAGAGCAGAAGACATTGTACAACAGAGAGGGCAGAGCCAAGGCAGCTGGCCCTCAGAGGAGGCGGCACATTACGGTGACCTGGACACCACCATATCTTCAATGACTTTCCAGCCAGCACTACGCTCTCCATGCCCAGGGAGAGCGGGCCGTGGTTGGACGCTGGGCAGGACTGGAGTCCAGCTGGGTTTTAGTGATGTTCTACACGGCTCGTAAGTGCGCTCGTTTTTATTTATGGCAATCAATGCTGGCATTCCTTGTGTCATAGAGTTAGAACATTCCTTTCTAAGTTAATTTCATTAAATGAAAGGGAAGAAATCTGGATAGGAACATACTGTAACTCACGGCTCAGATGGTTTGGCGGGGTGCAAAATATCACGAAGCTGCTTTGCCTGCCGCCAACTCCTGGAAGGCTGGACTCTGTTGGGTGGAAATCACAAAACCAGGTGAGGGGGACAGAAGGAAGATCTGGGGGGCAGCCGGTGGCAGTGTCCCCAAGACAGCAGTGTTTACCACCAGGGGACTGGTATTTGACAAACTGGTATGAAGGAACTCCACTACCTAGCGGTCCATTTCCGGAAACTGGCTGACCGAGGGAAGCTTTGGGCAACCAAAGACTTCATCCCCATTGTGTTGAGCTTTGACCAACCTGGAGGACTGTGATGAGCAAGGCAGACAAATCCATCTTCCCTCCATCTGCTGGACCATTCTGTGCCCACAATACCAACAGTTAGTGCAGCATCCGCAGACTTATTCACAATCACTCTGAAGGCCACAACGGTGAGCCTTGTTTACTGTCCCCCACAGCGTCTTCCCTCTATCTCTCATGTAGAGATCCAGACTCCCCGTTAACGCCCTGCCCACCATTTGGTTCAGAGAGGTCCTCTGCCTCCTGAGTCTGAAATTTTAAGCTAAGAACCCAAACGGCACAATCCATCGGTCTGGCTACAAGTTCAAGTCTGGATTAGGTACGTGTCCGTGTTGGACGAATCAGAGTCAGTGGTGTTATAGAGAAGAAAGGACTCATACCCACAGCATCTGTGAGGCACCTTGACCCAAGACTGCCCGAGGATGAACAACCCTAACCTAGAGGAAATGGAACTGAAGCAGTGGAGACACTGAGTTTAAGCTGTGATGCATCATTTAAGCTCCCGGATCCAGTCGGACTTGAAATCCACACCGCCTGTGACTTATTTACAGTCAACCACGATTCTTTTTTCACAACTTCTGTGGGATTTCATCCCTTTCAAGCCGAGAAATCCTAGCTGGAACAAGCCTCGTTCTCCAGGACTCCAGCCGCAGCAAGGTGTAAAGGAACCACGTGACTCAGACGGTTCAGCTGTAAACTGGCAATGAGGATTTTATTTAGTTCAAAATGTTTAGCCTCCCTGGCCTGCCATTCCAACACTGTTAATTATCAGAGTCCAGATTTGAATTCAGCGCTATCTTGTTCCGGGGCAGAGTTCATACCCATTAAGCTGTGCTAACTCTTGAACTCATTCCCTGAGTTGAGACTTGACTCCATTCTATCCAGTGTGTCCCTGACGAGTCGTGGGCTCTGCATCTCTTGAATTTCCTGGTTCCCATATTCTCTCATGAAAAGTCAAGCTGAGGAACGACGGCCATGTGTCTACTACAGAGGACACCAGTGAATGATCCTCTCCCCTCTGAGGTCCACCAATGTCCCTTGATCTTCCTTGAGTGCCTCTGCCATCAAATGTGTCCCAAGAGGAATCGTCTGTCAGGACACCACTGAGCCTCCGCCAAGGGCATGCCTCTGCTGCTCTGTTTCTCATCTGCTTCCTCTCAGCCGGCAGATGTGTGGCCGTTGCTTTGACACTGTACTTCTTACGGGTTGATTCAAAACCCCAGAGTTGAGAACATTGCGGTTTATCTCAGCTAAACGTCCCTCCTGTTGCCCTGCCTGTACTTTATGACTCTTTTGAAGATTGTTTTCCCTTAAATTTGGGGGATTTAAGAGACAGGAACAAAATACATTTTGTAGTTTTCCATTATCATAAAATTTCTTGCCCCACACCCCACCCATCCTGACAAGCGGTGGGGGGGGGTGTCTAGGACTTGCGCAGAAGTCAGCTAATTAGGCCCTTTTCCATGCTCTACGGTAGCTGGGTATCCTGTAGCCATGGTCGTTCATCCTAAGGCTCCAGATCTCTGGCTTTAAAAACAATTTACATCACAATTACGATTCTGTGAAATAAACCCATCACAACAAGCCAGACTTGCTGGGGCTGCAGCCCATCAGCCCAGCTACTTACTCAAGATGCTGAATGAGGCAGGAGAATCAATTCAAGGCAGCCTGGCTAACTCAAGGAGACCCTAACTTTTATCTATTTATTTTTAAGCCTGGGAATGTATCTCAGTGGTAGATCACTTACTTAGTATGTGTGAGTTCTCAAATTCTATTCCCCAAACCACTGACACAGAAAGACAGGCACACACACACGCACTCACGCATGCACACACACACATACACAGAGACAGAGACAGAGAGACAGAGAGAATCATAGTGAACGTTAAACTTTGTTCAAGTCCATGCATTCAAGGCCTAAAAGGAAACAGGTGATCTCTAAGAGAAATCAGTCAGCCCCAGCCAAAACTGTTCCAGAGAACTGCCTAATTAGCCCCATGAGCTCTACTGTGGCCATCAGCTCTCAGTGGCTCTCAGTGTCCCATTCCTATGTCTCATTTCCCCCTTCTCTTCTCCCACTTCTGGATGGCACTACAGGACCAGGCTTGAGACTCTGCACCCACCAATCCGAAAATCTTGTCCCCTTTGCCGCAAGCAGGATAACAATTCCTCAAAGGTCTGCATCTCAGTCCCCAGAACCTGTGGTTATGTCAACTAAAACAGAAAGGGGACCCTGAAACAGAAAGCATACAGGATTACTTGTGGATGCCAACATGATCATACATTCTTTGTATGTCAGAAGCCGGAGGCATGTCATAGAAGATGTGAAAAGGGAATCTCAATGATGTGGGGTCAAGAACCAAGGCTGCAGGTGCCTTTAGGGGCTGGGAAAGGGCAGGCCCAGGCCCTCCCCTACAGAGTCTAGAAGGGGAGCGATCCTGCCAGCTTGGTTTTCACTCTGACCCCCAGAGTGCAAGATAATGAATTTGTATTGTTCTCAACCACTGTTTGTGGGAACCGTAGAGCAACAGGACTCAACTCAACCAAAAAAGATTGTCCCAGGGATGCTCCTGAGAGCTGAGCCCAGCAAGCCAGAGCCAAGATGATTCTGTGTCTCCATGGACTTCCTAGGAGCACCAGAGGGAGCCTGGGCCTGCTGGTAGTCGTGCATACCATATGTTGAGATGCAACCCCGTGAATAGAACCAGCAAAAAGAGTGAATGAGAGAGAGAGGAGAGAGAGAGAGAGAGAGAGAGAGAGAGAGAGAGAGAGAGAGAGAGAGGAAAGAGAGTGAATGGGTGGGGGAGAGACAGCAGGAAGGACAGAATAAGACAAGAGTCCTTGGATCCAATATGGCTCCACAGAACTTACCCACTTAGCTTCCCCTACCCATTGGGTTACTTCCACTTTGTCCAGGAGCATCTTACTGCAGCTACCCCACTTTGTGGTTGTTCTGGAACCCAAGGACCACAGGAAGGAAATGCAGCAGTGGAAGTGCTCAGGAAGCAGGATGACCACACAGGAGAGAGCAGCACTTGCCACGAGTAGAATATCTACAACCCACACCGGCCAGCCAGACATGCGTGCTCCTGCTAAACCCTTTCTTGTGGGAGTCAACCGTATTCAGGGGAAGAAAGAAAATCACATGAGCCCCGAGGTTCACACCCTAGAGCTCCCAGGTGCAGTGCTGAGTCAACCACAGACACCGCCTGGCACAAGTACCCATTCCTAGATGGGACTGTGTCTGCCTTCCCACAGATGAGCAAACAGCCTTTGGGAGAAAGCCTGCAAGGAGCAGCTCTGGCTTGGGAATTAGAGGCTTTTCCTCAGCAACATCACCAACTTCTATCTTTCCCAGTCCTCCCAGGACGCCTTATCAGACCTCATGCATAGCTGTGTTCATGAACACACACACACACACACACACAAAGAGAGAGAGAGAGAGAGAGAGAGAGAGAGAGAGAGAGAGAGAGAGCTCTTCTAAATAGACCTCAAACACTTGTGCATTCTTTCTGGCCCCTTTGGTGCCTCAGCTAGCAGTGAGAATTTCAGGCATTCCAGCAGATCCATGAGAGGATGCTTCTGTGAAAGTTAAGTCAACACGATACAACACACCTGCCTGTTACACCACCTTGAAGAAGCATTGATTTTTAGCACAGGAATCTTTTATTATTATTATTATTATTATTATTATTATTATTATTATTATTATTATT